GGATGATGTGGTCCTCCTAGCTTCATCCAGCTCTGACCTTCAGCTCTTGCTGGGTAGGTTCGCGGCCGAATGTGAAGCGGCTGGGATGAGGATCAGCACCTCCAAATCTGAGACCATGGTTCTCGACCGGAAAAGGGTGGCTTGCCACCTCCGGGTCGGGGGAGAGGTCCTACCTCAAGTGGAGGAGTTTAAGTATCTCGGGGTCTTGTTCACGAGTGAGGGTAGGAGGGATCGGGAGATCGACAGGCGGATTGGTTCGGCGTCTGCAGTGATGCGGACGCTGAGCCGATCTGTCGTGGGGAAGAGGGAGCTGAGCCAGAAAGCCAGGCTCTCGATTTACCGGTCGATCTACGTCCCAATCCTCACCTATGGTCATGAGCTTTGGGTAATGACCGAAAGAACGAGATCACGGATACAAGCGGCCGAAATGAGTTTCCTCCGTAGGGTGGCCGGGCTCAGCCTTAGAGATAGGGTGAGGAGCTCGGACATTCGGGAGGGACTCGGAGTAGAACCGCTGCTCCTCCGGATCGAAAGGAGCCAGTTGAGGTGGTTTGGGCATCTGGTCAGGATGCCTCCTGGACGCCTCCCCGGGGAGGTGTTTCGGGCATGTCCTGCCGGCAGAAGGCCCCCGGGTCGACCCAGGACACGTTGGAGAAGTTACATCTCCAATCTGGTCCGGGAACGCCTTGGGGTCCTGCCGGAGGAGCTGGTGGACAAGGCCGGGGAGAGGATGGCCTGGAGCTCCCTAATTGGGATGCTGCCCCCGCGACCCGGACCCGGATAAGCGGAGGAAGACGAAGACGAAGATGTTTTACTTGTGTGAATTCTTGCTGCTTAGCTGTCATTAGGCAGCAGCACACACAAGCTTATTACTGCAGCAGGGACACATTTAGCTGTCTTCATCCTGATGTGTAGGTACGTCTCGTGCAAGTTCCCTAAACAAGTTCAAAGTTCACTCTAAAGTAATGAATTATTATTCAGTTTTTCATTTATCAGCCTCTCTTTTATTACCTTTATTCTTAATTATAAATGTTAATGAGTCATTATCTGTATTATTCTGATCTTCCAGCTCTATACATCTCTGCTTTTCTCCTGGTCTTTGGCTTTTATATTTTTCATTCTCAATAGAGGTAGGGTGATAACTCAGCCTGACTTTTGCCACATTTTAAATAGTAATTTATCATCCATCCTTCTGCATATTTACCTGTTGGATCCTGCTCGCAAATGAGTTATTCTACATTAGAATGCCCTTCTAAAATATGTTTAAAAATACATCCTTCCTTAACGTTTAAGTTTAGAGAGATTTAGTTAAGGTTTTATTAGATGAGAAAAAATATGAAAATCTGCTGCCCAGATCGCTAAAGGTTAGCATGGGTCACTGACTAAACCCATGCTAGGTGACGTTTACGTTTCTAAATAAACAACTACTATCAAAAAGAAACTTATTAAAAAAGTTGAATAAAACTACATTTGAAATAGAATTTTACAGCATTGCAAAGTGATTTCTTGCTCTAATTACTTTCAGATCTTTCTGGATCATCTGACACCCCCCCCCCCACCCCCACCACACACACACACACACAGTTAAAGACTATATCTGCTCTGTTCAGTTGTTTCATTGTATGATGTTCAGTCAGAGAGAGAGAAGTGGCTGCATGTTTGAGTTTCTGCACGCTGAGATCTGGATGTTCTCTGTGGCTGTAGCACACTCCTGTGGGCTTCATGCAGAACCAGGCATGCAGAACGTGCACCTTCATTCTGCAGCCAGAGGGGGAAACACACATTCTATCGAAATGATTTCCTATAAAAGATAAGAGTACACAGATATGTGTGTAATAACCCACACACACACACACACACACACACACACACACACACACACACACACACACACACACACACACACACACACACACACACACACACACACACGTACTTATATTGAAACCAATAGAAACTGTAAATGAATAAATTTCTGGGAATTATAAATGATAATACTTGATGTGGAAACGCCTTGTCAGAAACATTAAAACAAACATTTCCAAAGGCCTATCAATCTTAAACAGAATTAAACCATCCAGGGATGAAAATTTAGCCGTTCTATATACTCCATACCCTGGTGCTTCCATACTTCATGTTTTGTGTTGAAATACGAGTAAAAACTTATCGAACCGTAACAAGCCTGGAAGGAAAGAATAAAAAAACAAATATATGCTTGTGTGGACCTTCACTGACTTCCATTCATTTCAGTGACTCCACTATGCCTAACCTATACTCTAATCATAATCAATGCTGATCTATTCCTAACCCTAACCTGAACTAAAACTCAGTTCACACCATACCTCTAAAACCAACTGGTAAGCTTTTAGAAAAGTGTGAACCACAAAAATGTCCTCACTTTGTAGGGATAATAGTGAAAATGGTCCTCAGTATGTAGTACTAACACATACACACACACACACATTCACGTCTAGCATTCATTGTAAGGACAGTCATTGACTTTGATTCATTTTAATGACTAGATTGTGCCTATCCCTAACTCTAACCATAACAAGTCTATTCCTAACCCTAACCTTAAGTAAAACTTAATTCACACCATACCTCTTAAACTAACAAGTAGAGCTCTGTAACATTGGACCAAAGTGAGGACCACACTTTGATATATAGATGAGTACACACACACACTCACTCACACTCATCCTGTGATTGTTTAATTTAGTCTCTCTCTCTCTCTGTCTCTCTCTCTCTGTCTCTGTCTCTGTCTCTCTCTCTCTCTCTCTCTCTCTCTCTCTCTCTCTCTCGCTCTCTCTCTCTCTCTGTCTCTCTGTTTCTGTCTGTCTCTCGCTCTCTCTCTCTCTCTCGCTCTCTCTCTCTCTCTCTCCGTCTCTCTGTTTCTGTCTCTGTCTCTCTCGCTCTCTCTCTCTCTCTCTCTCTCTCTCTCCGTCTCTCTGTTTCTGTCTCTCTCTCTCTCGCTCTCTCTCTCTCTCGCGCTCTCTCTCTCTCTCTCCGTCTCTCTGTTTCTGTCTCTCTCTCTCTCGCTCTCTCTCTCTCTCGCGCTCTCTCTCTCTCTCTCTCGTATTCCTTAACTTTCCCTGAGTTGCTTGATTTTAGGTGTAAGGTTGGAAGATGATTAGGACAGTTATGCACGATAACCTTGAATATTTGACTTTTATATTAAATATGTTGATGTAGTTTTGGAGATAGTAATCAGTAAGCGATCTTTGGGTTAAAGCATAAAATATTCAGATAGTTCTTTCTATAGATATAAATCTGATTTCTACGTAACATGCAAGTTTTATAAATGAAGATTATTTTAGTTCATTTATTTACAACTTGAAACCAAAAGAAATGGCACTATTTTAGACTGCTGAACGTAGATTCACCCTAACTCTCGAAAGCTACATGTTACTGTATGTACGCTTTAGACATGTTAACTGAATTACTTTTCATGTCTCAGCAGATATAAAAATTTTCTTTGCTTTCTTTACACATTAAACATATTATAATTGTAACATAATACTGTAGCAACTCAGTGTTCGAGGTAAACGATACAGATGCCCTGAGGTGGTTGAAATACTTCAGCCTGGTTTGAAAACTGGCTCTGTCATAGCTGCCTAACCTTGGCACAGAAGATGCCATCATCAGAGGATGTCTTTGGGAGTGATTTCATCCAGTAAATGCTAAACTGGTCTGTATTTGTATAGCACCTTCTTAAGCCTTATTTGTACATCTGTGTCAGGACAGAGACATGCAACGCTATTATGCGTCAATGCAAGAGCTCTCAGACGTGCTCGCAGAGGAAGATGGAGACATGCCCCAATTTTTACCTATTCGTCAAGACAGAACACAAGCTTGTGATTGGTCAGGATGCTGCTTCCTCTAAATGTATCAACAGCACAATTTTTACCGCTTCAAAAAGTAGAGATTTTGTGGCAGACACGAAACAGAATGAAGAATGCGTCACAGAAAAAGTCTGAAAATTTGAACAAGGAATATTTGCTGACTTGGCTGAACGAGTACAAAGACATGCAACAAGCGTTGTATTTGTGGACAGAAAAGACTAGAAACGTGAGTTTAGAGGTACTGATCGAATGACGAGGTGGAGAGGACCAAGGGACACATTTTTCTGTGTTATAAAGTCTCTGAAATACATTAAAACAATGTAAACACAATAGCAAAGGCACTATTGTAGACCAGATAAGTGACTGTAATGATGGCAGGATACCTCACCTCAGTGTAGCGCTATGCTCTTTTTTGCTTTGCAACAATCCCCGTCTGACGGAAAAGTCTGAGAGCAAAATGTCTCTGTCAATGCGTGTGCGTCTCTCCCTCACAGAGCTGACGGGGAAGTATAAATTAGACTTTAGGGTTCAACAGCCCCCCAAGGCGCTTCACAACACCCATTCACATGCTGCTGATAATGAGTTATATTGTAGCCACAGCTACCCTGGGGCACGCTGATGGGTGAGGCCTGTTAAATACTGGCGCCACCGGTCCCTCCGACCACCACCAGCAGGCAAGGCAGGTTAAGTGTCTTGCCCAAGGACACAACAGCAGCATTCTTGTGTCTGAGCTGGCATCGAACCTGCAACCTTCTGATCTGGACAACCTGCTCTAACTCCTGAGCTTCTGAGCATATCTTTTTGAAGCTGTTTCCTCTGCCCTCTTTCCTGTCCTTTCTCTGCTTCTTTGATAAAGACGCTGACAGAGAATGCTGTTTCTCCCTCGTACCCGCAGCACGACACGTAAATACCTCAGCCGACTCTCTGTTGACGCGAATCAGGATAGCTGAAGTGCTTTTATGTTGTCTGGTTTGACTTGGTGTTTGATCTAAATCAGACTTTAAGATTTTACAACAGATCTTTTTCATTATTCTAAAGTTGATATTCCAGAAGACCACACATATGACAAAGAGACACAACTCCCTATAGAATCTGTGCTTTTCTTTTGGAAACTGCTGTTGTGTCTGATGTGAACTACCTCTACCTGTTTCCTCACAGGGTGGCTTCCCTTCAGGGTTGGACTCAGTCAGAGGGACCCGCCACCATGGGCTCGTGGAGAGGGTCCACAGGGACCGTAACCGCATTAACTCTCCTCATCGCCGACCCATTGACAAACACGGACGGCAAATATCCTTCCAATCATGAATCTTTGACCAAAGAGGATCGCTAAAGCATTTGTACATTCATGTGTTGTCATCATCAACACAGAAGGTCAGTGATGGCCGTTGTTCAGTTTTGTGTGTCTTTATGTTGTGGTTACAGTTGTGACGACACACTTGCAGGCAGCTAGAGGTTTTGATGCCTTAAGCCGGGCGTACACGGTGCGACTTTTTCACTTTTTTGAGCCGATTTTCCAGTCGTGCGAGAATCCACGACATCGGGGCGAGTTTTGCGCCGAGCGGTCGTGTAGTGTACAGGGGGTTACGAGAGGCGATTAACACCACGTGACCAGCTGCCGATCAGCAATTGTGAGCTCGCACGGACTTCTGGCGTGTTTAATATTTCGCTCGTCCCTCGTGAGGGTATCACACTGTTGAAGCGGCGCTGCGAGCAGCTGCAACCCAAAATGTACCAGAACCGCTCACGGCGCATGCGCAATCATGCATCAACGCAGCTCGCTCGCTATTTCCCTAATAACACACGCTGTTCGTTTTTGTTTCTACACGTTTTTTTACTCACAAAGATTGTCAAGAAAGCGTGTTTGTCGTGTTCATGTCAAATTACACTGATCACAAAACACAGATTTACTTTCTTTATTTCGTTTTCCTCATCCAACCCCCATAAATCCCTGTGTGTCCTCCTGCAGCACTCCCGAAGGACAACAGGCAAAACAAGACAAAAAAGTCTGACGTGTTGAGTAAAAACTGCTGTTTTTAGCATATTTTTAGGTCCGACGTGTTGCTACCAGACGTACAGTGTGAGCAGTCAGGTCGCATGCGAGAACTGGGTCGTGCAGTGTGAGCACATGACTCGTGAGATCTGCTCTGCGAGGAAGTCGTACAGTTTGAGCTGAAGCTGAACGCTGCGAGTGATAAAGTCGCACAGTGTACGCCCGGCTTTAGGAGTGGAATTAGTCTTTAGAATCAATGGTGCACAAATGTTGTGCTTGATGCCTGACTGATAGACGACAGCAGGAAAGTCACAGCACGCTCCAAATGCACAGGTTGCATTTATGTGTAATTTACAGGTCCATGTTAAACTGTATGAGCTTTTGTGTTCAAATCATTTTATTATAAAAAGGACAAATGGCAGTTTATAGTAGCTAAAAAATATATAATATTTAAAGAAAAATCACATGTCACTTCAACATGAAATCAATGCTTTTAAAATAAACAAAACAGCTGGTTGGTGTTTCTGTTGGCTGAAGGGTCACTCCTCAGTATAGATAGTACAAGGAATATTTGCTGACTGACCTGGCTGACACATCAGTTACCTTAGAGAGCTGCACCTTTATAAGTTTTCACATTTATCTTTACTTCTGGTTACCAAACCAGACTAAGGAGAAGGCTCAGACTTCAGAAGCTCCCCCACTGCATGACCCACGTCTCTGGGTCTTTTTGGGTCTGGTCACACACCCAACGAACCACAGCATCCCCCTTACCACCACCATCTAAAATGACGTGGTCCGGACCTCCTGCTCTCTGGGTTTGGTGCAGGGATGGATTGAATCTGAATTAAGTGTATGGGTCAGTTAGCAGACTAGTGTTCTCATTTCTGCTCTGAGATTCAAGTTCTGAATATTTGTTTCAAATACTAAGATTTGATGTTCTGTCCTTTGTACTAAAGTAATTTGCTGTTGAAATCAGCAGTTCAGGGTGATGTGAACAAAAACAAACCTGAGTGTTTCCCCATTTTAACCAGCTCAGTGGTCTAGTTGCATGAGTGTCAGCCCTTAGACTATGAGACAGTGGTTTCAAATCCATGGGTCTCACCAAAGACTTTAAAAATGGGACCCAATGCTTCCCCGCTTGACACTCTGCTTCAAGGTGTTCCATTGGGGGTTTGAACCACCAAATATTTCCAGAACGCGGCTGTGTCTGCAGCTCACCGCTCCCCCAGGGGATGGGTCAAATGCAGAGAAATAATTTCACCAGTGCATGGCAACTAATGAGACTTTCCATTTTCCTTAGTGCTTCGGGTTTGAATTCCAAAAAATTTGAAATTTCAGTTTTTAGCAACAATTCAATGTGAACGTCCGAACCCAGCCCTATTTTATCACAGTTTAACAGGAACTTCATTCAAAAGTACACTAGTTGTTCCTCCTGAGCATCGTGTTAACACACGCCCGTATGCTCAAGAACAGAAAAGGAACCCCCCACCCCTTAGTTTACCACTCCATGTTGGCAGCAGCACCTGGCAGCTGTTTTCCCTTTTTCATTTTTTGTGAAGGCAGCAATGATTAATGCAGTTTTGTTGCTTTGGAGGGATTATTTTTTATTGGAGTTGCTATTGCGTGGTTCCTGCTGCAGTATAGTGCTGAAAAACAGTTCTGCTGATTACTTTGTGTGTTATGCACATTTGGGGACCTTCATTGGTAATCAGAGCGGTCTTAAAGCTGTTTATTGTCTTCTGTGTGGAGAAAGGTCAGTAATGCTGTCAGTCTTTGCCAATTTAGTGGTGTTTGTGTGTGTTATAAGGGGCTTATCGCATGTTTTGTATTCAACATGATGATTGGCTACTGCCTGTGTAATTCTAGCTCACTACTGATACTAATTGATTAGAGGCCTTAACCAATGCTTTTGGGACAGTGAAAGGTCTTCTGTGGCTCTGTTTGTATTTGTTTTAGCACCACTCCTAATCAGCCTCTTTGAGATGAGCCAGCTCTGCTCCATAGTTTGTGTTAGCAACTCACAGCAAGACAAAACATGTTCTGGATGTTTTTCTGTTTGCATACATGATGCCAGGAACTTTGCTAAGCAGTAAATCAACTAATTATCTGTGGCTTTTTTAACTTTTAAATTTTTTTGACATAGGAGGCTTGTCTGTTGTTCTCTTCCCTTATAGTGAGACTATTAGCTGATTTCACAGCATACTTGTAAAGTTTGGGCTACATGATGCAGGGGCAGAGCTTATCCTAGACTGAATAAAAAAAAATAACAGGAAAAAATAAATGTAATTTTTCTGAATTCCTGTGTGTGTGTGTGTGTGTGCGTGCGTGTGTGTGTGCGTGCGTGCGTGTTTGTGCACATATTTTCTTTAACAAAAACCTACATGGAGAGCTCTCCATACGGGGCGGTGTATCTGTCGCCACCTCCGGACAACAGCTGGAGAAGGTGAGTGCCACCTCTGCTGAGTTTCTGACAGGGTGCTTGTTGTTCTTTTTTCTTCCTCTCAGTAGGATATTTTGTATCTGGAACCGTTTCCTCCTCCTGCCAGTGTGTTTCCTGTGCCATGCCTCTGGAGTAACCAGTATTTTCTGTCCTGATTCAAACACCAGTCTTCCTTGATCAAACACAAATCTGAGATGTGAATGGGAGGCAAGGGCCAGGTGATGGGTGGAGCTGTTGGCCTTTGTTGTTTCTGCTCAAATGTTTCATGTGTGAAAATGCTGTGTTAACCCTTGGACGGCTGCCTCTGACTGAAAGTGTTTGACAGATAGCCTTTTGCTTTAAAGGTCATACCCAACGGCAGACCTTTAACTGTTGGGGGATTTTGTCGGTGCTCTGTAGTGCAGAATCTCTCACTTCTCTGAAACTTGAGGACATTGATTGTGTTTGCGCTGGCCTTGTGTGCCAGAAGCTTCTTTTCTTTTCCAGCTCTGATTGTGCCCACGTAGAGCAGCCGTGTATTGGTAGACAGCTTTTCCTCAGTGTTTACAAGGGAGTGAATTATGGGCCTGTGATAAAACAGCTCAGCCAAGCTCCTCCTCACTCTGTCTTGCTGCTTTGTCTCTACTCTTGTGTTTAGTATGCTGCCTTGGCCAGCTGCCAATCACCCTGCCTTGTCTTCTTGCACAGCACCGACAAAAACGCCGACCAAGCTCAGCATTGAGCGCACCTGTAACGCCTTGTACTGAATAAATGAATAAAGTCCACACCCTCTCATTGTTGACAGCACAGAAACAGGTTGACTAACAAATGTCTTTGTAGATCAACCAGACATCAGTGCTGTCAGTGAGTGGGTTTCTCTGAGACACGTGACACAAACAGCTGGGAGCTTCTTATTAAACACATTTCAAATTAGTGTGGTTAACTGAAGTTCTGTACTCAATAATGGCAAAGAAAGACAGGTGCATCAAAACAAAATCCTTAAACTCAGAAAAATCATTAAAGCAGTAAAATAACTGCCAGAAGATTTATTCTCATGGAGAAATAAAAGCACAAACCCTCCTAATGGGCATTTGAATTATGAACTTTGAGGTTACGACCCCGGGTCCTACCCAGTAGTTATCAAAAATGTGACATGTGTTATATTTTTACAAGTTTTTTTTATTACATGAGAAAATTACTCTACAGTTATAAAAAGATGATGGAACAAATGTGTAAGAAGAATAGGCTTTGTTTGTTTTTTTTAATCACCTGACCACCAATAAACTAATATGTAATGTGGGTTTAATAAACAGGAAGTATAGCTGTTCAAATACCTTCTGGACTCATGAAGTACTTTGAATGATACATTTGTAATATCCGAGTTTCAACAGGAACAAAAAAATGTATAAAATGCCGCTATACTTAAAGTGGTGGCGATTAAGAGTAAAGGAGATAAAAAACAACAAAACAAAATCTTCTCACCCTCTGTTCACAGAAACATGAATTTTACATTAATTCTGTAGTATTCATAATCAACCAGTGGAGGCATCTTTTCTTTCTCAAATTTGAATTAAGTTCTACTCTCATGTGATCAAATGTCTCAAGGCCAACCTAGCACCACTGGGTCAGAGATCCCAACTTCCCACACCAAACCTTCTGTCAAGAATCTTGGTGTGACCTTTGACCCAGCTCTCACCCTGGATTCTCATGTCAGTTCTCTTGTTCGCTCTTCCTTCTTCCATCTCAGGAACATTGCTAAGCTGAGTCCCATTCTGTCCCGCTCTGAACTTGAGACAGTTCTCCACACCTTCATCTTCTCACGCTTAGACTACTGTAACTCTCTTTTCACGTGTCTGAGCAGAACCTCCCTGAACCGTCTACAGGTGGTTCAGAATGCCTGTGCTCGGCTTCTGACCAAGTCCTCCAAACACACCCACATCACCCCGCTTCTCCTGCAGCTTCACTGGCTGCCAGTCAACTTCAGGGTTCATTTCAAGATCCTGGTTCTGGTCTATAGGGCCTTACATGGACAAGCACCATCTTACATTGGTGATCTTCTTAGTCCCTACACCCCCAGCAGGTCCCTGAGGTCCAGTGATCAAAGCCTACTGGTTGTGCAGCACCAGGCTAAAGACCAAAGGTGACAGATCATTTGCTGCTGTGGCCCCCAGACTCTGGAACTCTCTCCCCCTGAGCCTGAGATCAGTGGACTCGGTGGTCTCCTTTAAAAAGCAGCTGAAGACTCACTTGTTCAAGCTGGCTTTTGCATGACCTTCTTCACCACTCTCTCTTTATTCTGCTCTCCCCACCTATTCCACCTTCCTCAGGATCCACTGGTTTCCCTCTTTCCTATTCACTCTCTCTCTTTCTCAACATTTTTTCTTTTAAATCCCAATTGCCTATTTTTGCTCATTTTAAATATATTTTTAAACATTTTCTAAATGCTTTTTTATATTTTAACATTTTTTTTGTTTTTGTGACTCGCCCCATGATTTTTATCTTGAGAGGCGCTATAGAAATTATATTTTCTTCTTCATTTCTGCTCTCTTTAAGTTGTTGATTGGTAATTTTAGTCATCCAGGCTAATTAATATGAATTAAATCAGGTTAAATTGAGAATCTTTATATCTCCACTAATGGATAGTTTAAGGTAATCAGTAGAATAGATGTTTGGTATTAGCCTGATGGTTTGATACTGGGTTACTGTATATTCAGTCAAGTTTCAGATATATAGCTGCAGCCCTGTGAAACTGTAATTTGTTTAACTCAAACGAGTAGAGGGCATGACAGCACAGCATAAAGCATCCATGTTCCTAAAGACAGATGTGACAGTTTTATGTAAACATCTTTGAATAAACTGTCACTTTTCTGTGTTTTCTTCTTCGCTCAACCATGCCGCTCTGTGATTGGCATCAACCCTGTCATGTCTCTGCAGGCCATATTTAGCCTCCTGCTCCAACCTGCAGCAGATTGTTGTCACAGTGTGCAACATGGATAAACTTCCCCTCAGCTGTAGGTTTTGGCTCACAACTCCAGTAAAATAAGAGATTTGTGTTATTGCTGTGGTATTTGTCTAAACTGTCTCCGTCTCGACCAACATGTGGGAATTTTATAAAGTAGAAAAACAGTTTGAAAACAATCTTTGTGTTTAAACGCAGGTAGTGTACCCGGAAAAAGTGCTAACTGTCTGTTTTAGTCACAGATTATTTGCATATATTTTTGCGGAGCCTAGTTTAGTTAGTGATGCGAGCTCACGGTTTAAAAATGTTGGCATTTATATCGCGTTTAAAGCGTGCCACAACCCGTGCACGCGCATTGGGTCCACAGCGCGCGCGTGAACGGGACTCGCGAGCGAAAATATACATGGCGAGAGGTCATTTGTGCACTGAGAGGGAGCAAACTGTGTCTGTGAGCGCACAAGGATGTGCACAAGTGACAAACCTGCGTGCGCGCGTTGTCAACGAGCACACGGCAGAGGAAGACGTGCCCGCGCGGCAGCCTCTGTGCGCGCTCGGCAGCCTCTGTGCGCGCTCGGTTTCTGACTCCTGCTCGCTCGGCTGTAAGGGCTTTTGGCACTCTGGAGGCGTGGCCTGTGGCAGATCTTCTCTGTCCTCTGATTGGTTAGTTCACCCCGCACTTTACCCTCTATCTATATAAAAAAGTCTGATATTCAGTAGTTGCTGGCATAGCTCAGCTGGGAGAGCGGGTGACTCTCGCCCCGGAGGATCCAGGTTCGAGTCCGGGCAAGGAAAATGCAGTAGATGTCATGTTTACTTTTCTTAATTTCAGGTATTTTACAGTTGTGACCGTTCAACTGTCATTAAACGTCCGAATGTTTGCTGGGCAGTGTTTTAAAAAGTGCACAT